ATTTCTCAGTTGTTCTTTTGTAACAATCGATGATGTTGCTATGATTTTGCCATTGTTTTTAAGTTTTAAGGAAAGCTTTAAAGCAGCACATTTTCATTTTTGACGAAAATATTCAATGTGTATATTAACTAAAGCTATTATCATATAGTGATGAAAAAAATAAAATTTTTTAGCTGGTCTACATAATGTTATGTATTGACTGTCCTCATGTAAGGAAAATCTGTAACTAATTTTAGCCCTTTGAACAGTCTAAGATTATTTCCATTAGATAGTCAATCAATAAAGATTGATCCAATTTACTTTGGTTTTTGGCCGGGTTGCACTGGTGCATTAACCAGGTTATTATAAGTATGGTGAATGTCTGGCAGCGGGCAGGCAGGGGGAAAACTTTCGTAACAGTTTTCTCAGCAACTACTTATCACAGCCTCTTGATATTTGGCATACAGCATCAACACATGGTCCCATACGGTGGGATTTGGTTTCAGGTCTGCCACTCATCCACTTTCTGTTTATCGACTTAGTTAAATTTTCGACATTAATGGTCAATGGTAGGAAATTTTCGAAACAGTTTTCTCAGCAACTACTAATCACAGCCTCTTGATATTTGGCGTGCAGCATTGACATGACTTTTGTGGTCCCATACCATGGGATTAAATTTCAGTATCAGGTCTGTCGCTCATCCGCTTCCTGTTTATAGTCTTAGTTAAATTTTCGACATTAATGGTCAATGGTAGGAAATTTTCGTAACAGTTTTCTCAGCAACTACTTATCATAGCCTCTTGATATTTGGCATAAAGCATTGACATGTGGTCCCATACTGTGGGATTTGATTTAATGTCTGTTGTGCATCCACATCCTTTTTACCGACTTAGTTAAATTTTCGATATTAATGGTCAGTTGTAAATTTTTTTCGTAACACCACAGCATCATGATATTTGGTATATATATGCAACCTAAATGCTTTTTCTGTCTTTGACCCATTTTTATTTATTTAACTCATGAATTCTTATCCAGAAAAATTTGTTTTAATACTGAAGGAGAAATCTTTGTAAAGCCAAAGCAACCATCAAAATGACTGGACACTGTAGCATTGTCGTGACTGGTTACTGTAGAATTGCCATGACTGGTTACTGTAGCATTGCCATGACTGGTTAATGTAAAATTGCCATGACTGGTTGCTGAAGAATTGCCATGACTGGTTACTGTAGAATTGCCATGACTCAGGTTACTGTAGAATTATCATGACTGGTTATTGTAGAATTGCCATGACTGGTTTACTGTAGCATTGCCATGACTGTTTAATTATGTCTCCCCCACCTCGGGGGGAGACATATTGTTTTTGCCCCGTCCGTCAGTCCGTCCGTCCAGCAGTCCGTCAGTCCGTCCGTCCATTCTTCGTTTCCGGACGATAACTAGAGTTCCTTTTGACCTACAGCCCTCAAACTTCATAGGATGATTGGTCTTATAGAGCTGATGATCCCTATTGTTTTTGGGGTCAGTAGGTCAAAGGTCAAGGTCACACTGACCGTTGGTCAATTTCTCGTTTCCGGATGATAACTAGAGTTCCTTTAGACCTACAGACCTCAAACTTCATAGGATGATTGGTCTTATTGAGCAGATGATCCCTATTGTTTTTGGGGTCAGTAGTTCAAAGGTCAAGGTCACAGTGACCGTTGGTCAATTTCTCGTTTCCGGATGATAACTAGAGTTCCTTTTGACCTACAGCCCTCAAACTTCATAGGATGATTGGTCTTATAGAGCAGATGATCCCTATTGTTTTTGGGGTCAGTAGGTCAAAGGTCAAGGTCACAGTGACCGTTGGTCAAATTCTCATTTCCGGACATCGCTTTAAACAAATAATAAACAAGGCTACTACAGCACACAACACACTTATTGACCATATCTACCAGAGAGGCTTGATTGTGAAAACGAGTGGAGTCATCCCAACACACTACAGTTATCATGATTTGACATACATTGAAATTTGAGTTGTCTTTCAATAGTGTAAAAAATCTGACAATATGAACGTTTGTTTCAAGTATCATCAAAATCCTTCAAAGGGTTGAAGAGTTATGGAGCAGACACAATTTCCTTTAATTTCGTTTGTGAAACTATATATGATATGACATTCAAGTGTCAAGTAGACCTTGACCTTGGAACCAGCCATACGAAACATGTACTCTACACGTTCTCTGGATGTGGTGAATTTTTGTTTCAAGTATCTACCAGAGAGGCTTCATTGTGAAAACGAGTGGAGTCATCCCAACACACTACAGTTATCATGATTTTACATACATTGTAATTTGAGTTGTCTTTCAATAGTGTAAAAAAATCTGACAATATGAACATTTGTTTCAAGTATCATCAAAATCCTTTAAAGGTTTGAAGAATTATGGAGCAGACACAATTTCATTTAATTTCATTTGTGAAACTATATATGATATGACCATCAAGTGCAATTTCGTTTGACGCCCGCCTGCCATACGCTGATTGAATAACCAGGATTTTCAAAATTGAATACCTGGTTAAAAACAAACAGTTTAGGAAGCATCTTCTCATACAACCTTAACAATAGAAACCATCCATAGACAGCCTTCATTGAAGTGACTACCGGGTATTTACATTATCTTATCTCCATTTCCATTCCTGTTTCCATTCACAGTTATTCTCAGCAGTGGGGGAGACATGCGCTTTTTTACAAAAGCATCCTCTAGTTTTAAATTGCCATGACTGGTTGCTGAAGAATTGCCATGACTTGTTACTGTAGAAATGCCATGACTCAGGTTACTGTAGAATTGTCATGACTGGTTATTGTAGAACTGTCATTACTTGTTACTGTAGAATTGCCATGACTGCTTACTATAGAATTGCAATGACTGGTTACTGTAGAATTGCCATGACTGATGATTGTAGAATTGTCATGACTGGTTAATGTAGAATAATGTCATAGCTGGTTAATGTAGAATTGTCATGAATGGTTAATGTAGAATAATGTCATGCCTGGTTAATGTAGAATAATGTCATGCCTGGTTAATGTAGAATTGTCATGACTGGTTATTGTAGAACTGTCATTACTTGTTATTGTAGAATTGCCATGACTGCTTACTATAGAATTGCCATGACTGGTTACTGTAGAATTGCCATGACTGGTGATTGTAGAATTGTCATGACTGGTTAATGTAGAATAATGTCATAGCTGGTTAATGTAGAATTGTCATGACTGGTTAATGTAGAATAATGTCATGCCTGGTTAATGTAGAATTGTCATGACTGGTTAATGTAGAATTGTCATGACTGGTTAATGTAGAATTGTCATGACTGATTACTCATAGTAGAATTGCCATGACTTGTTATTTTGTTACATTTTAAGTGACTTTTACAGGTGATTGAAGAGTTTTCTTTATAATTATGTACTTATTATTGTTATGTTAAATTTAAAGTGACTTTAACATCTGATTGTTGAGTTTAGTTTTCTGGATATACATTATATGCAGCGTATGAAGTGTATATATATGTAGACATAGGGTGCGTAAATCAATAGCCATCGTAAGAGATGCCTAATCACGACCATGATTGATCTCGTTAAGCGAGAAAACTGTATAAAAATGACATCTTTATAATCCCTAATGAGTGACGGTATGGAACATGCTCTGTAACACCATATCTAATACTCTCGTACTGTAATGATATTTGTCTGACAGGATATTTCGGCTTAATTGGTACAATGCGATTGATTTTACAAGAATTTAATACGAGACGTTTGTACAGATTGATTTAAAACGGTGAAATTAACAGACCTCTGTCTTTCTCAAGTGCTTTATGCATAAGTTCAGCTGGTTAGAAAAGATGGATAAAAAAAGCTTCAAAGGAAAAGTTGCGTCAATTGCTAATTAATAAATATGGACGCATGGGGTTCTATTGGCATTTAAATATAATTAGAAAAGGAAGGTCGCACATAGATTTTATGATTGAATTTTCATGCAAGATCTTTGGTGACTTTTATTGAACTTCAAAATTTATCTAAGATCTTTTTGGGAAAATGACTTTGCATTATGTTTTGAATGTCAATCTTGAATAGATAGCTATATTTTTGATAATATATCATTTTAGATATATGTGTATAGTCTTATTTCTGTTACAACTTTTGTAAAAAAAGTTATTTTTATAAGAAGCACCAAAAAATATCATTAAGGTCAGATGAATTAATGGGATATTCAAAAAACCATTCAACTAAGGTCTGGGTTGTTATTGAAACAGTGTGGAAATGGTACACTACAAATGTTTGAATTTTTGTTTAAACAAAGATATTTTCATAGGGGCATCTATGGTTGAGTGTTTAAGGTGGTTGACTTCAAACCATTTGCCCTTCACCTCTGCAGGTTTGAATCCTGATAAGGACTTTGGATTCATTCATGTGGGGAAGCTATCCAGCTAGCTAACGGAATGTCGGTACTTCTACTCAGGTGCCCCCTGTACCTGAAATAATGCTAAGAGTGGCACCTGAGGTCTTCCTCCACCAGTCAAGCTGGGTAATTGCCATATGACCTGTATACTGTTGATGCAACTTTAAAAAACCCAGCCAAAAAAAAAAGGTATTTTTATTGAAGAAACAAAGGATTGTGAAGTGATACAATGAAGCCCGTGTGTAGTTTGCAGATTAAGTTTAGTTAAACCTATAAGAGGATGATGTATGTTGTAAGGAATTCTGCCAATCATAATACCAGCATAAGCAGAAATCAAAATTGAAAATAGTTCATGTCATATATTGCTGTCATATATTGGTGAAAATCATGCTGGTAAGCATTAAGGCCCCCACGGTTACACGTTTAAGTGGATTCGTTTCCATTTTCATTCATAAATGTTTACAATAATTTTTACTGTTTAATCGAAATGACCATATTGTCTTACAAAATATCTTAACATTTGAATAAAGGTGATGGTACAATTCAAAATTTGAAAAAACATCCCTAAATAAAACTTTGTTTTTTCTATATTTTCAGGAATTTCAGATTTAACATCAAAAGGTCACCATGGCTGTTCACATTGCTGGACTTATTGCTATCATAGTATTCTATCTGCTCATCTTATTAGTAGGACTATGGGCGGGAAGGAAGGCGAAGCAGACGGGCACGGATGCAAACTCAGAAAATGTGATGTTAGCGGGACGTAATATAGGTCTACTGGTTGGCGTGTTTACTATGACAGGTACTGGTTATTAGCTTCCTTGTAGCTTAAATTAAATGATAATATGATTAGAAGGTAAAAATGGTCTAAGAGAACTGAATTTGTTAATTTAAAAATGAGGGATACATTTCCTTCAACATTTGAATTTCTCAAAACATGGATCTTGCAATACATTTCCCTTTCACATTAAAATTTCTCAAAACATGGTCCTTGCAATACATTTCCCTTTCACATTAAAATTTCAGGAAACATACACTAAAATATTTGAGTGTTTTCACAGTAAAATTTTTCAAAACTTACACTAAAAATTGTTTCCATTTCACTTTAAAAGTTCTCTGTAGTATGGTTTTTGCATGGTTTCTGGTCTGAAGTTAACAAGTAGACAGGAAGTCTTAAAGTACTGGTGGCATACATGCTAATGTGTGGATAGTTTGCAAGTCAATATTAATTTTCTTACTGCAACCTTTAAATAATTTTTAACTTTTTAAGGCCTAAACAAATATTCTTTATTCTTAATAAAGGTCATGGTGAAAAATGTTAGACCTGGAGAGTGTTATAGTCCATAATTGTTTTAATTTCTGCTTATATGTACATGTATATATTATTCATTCATGCCAAAAGGCAGTCACAAAATTTCCACAAGGAGTATTAAGCATACTCCAGAAGGGAGTTGACATTTTGCTAGTTTTCCAGAGGGTTCATTTGTCCAAATTTTGCTGATTTCACTAATTTTTGCATGAGTTTCACTAAAATAATGTAAAACTGATAATCCGAATCTCAGAGTAATATATTTGAGCCGTGTCTTGACAAAACCAACATAGTGGGTTTGCGACCAGCATAGATCCAGACCAGCCTGCGCATCCACGCAGTTTGATCAGGATCCATGCTGTTCGCTATCAGTTTCTCTATTTGTAATAGGGTTGGTAAGGGAACAGCATGGATCCTGATCAGACTGCGAGGATGCACAGACTGGTCTGGATCCATGCTGGTCGCAAACCCATTATGATGGTTTTGTCGTGACGCGGCTCATTTGTTTGTTGATACATTTTTTTCTTCTTATTTATTTTATAAAATTTGGCATGTCTTATCATTATTTTTTATATTTTCTCTTTATAAGAAAATTTTTGCTAGAGAATACATGCATAAGACATTTAATATTTTGAAATTACCAAGATAATTTAATGAAGATAAATTGTAGATTTTGTTTATTGATTTTGTCTGAAGTTGAATGTTATATCTTATAGTGGAGAACATATTGACAAGAAAATTGTAGGATATTTGTCCATGATATACTTGCATTTTCCTTGAGAGGTTTTTTTATAGAAAGATCACATGGTAAATGTATATTGAGTTTAGGGAAGAAAAAAGAGCCGATGTTGTAATGTAGCATTACCATGATGCCAATTTTATCTTTTCAGAAATATTACTTGGGTTGACTTTCAGCCTTGCTCTGAAATATGATGGTGTGATATTGAAAAATATCTAATTTGAAGTTTCTAAAAGTATCTTATTTAAAAATTTCATAAAATAAAATTGTCCATCCTGTGGTATAGGGGGTACATTGACTGAATGAAGCTTGAGTTTTTGCCTTAAGTTGTACAAACTACAAACCCACTGTGCTAGAGGATTTATTCCCCTTAGGATGTTGGAAGATTTGATAATGCTTGGCTTTAAGTCACACAGACTGATCTTTTGTGGCTTAGAGGATTTATCCTCTTTAGGTAAAGGGCAGATTGTACAAGGCTTGGTTTTATGTCACAAAGGCTCTATTTTGTTATGGCTACAGCCACAAAAAAAAATTTGGGGATACAATCCCCAAAAAACCCCTTCTAGTTGGCCTAATCATATAAATTTAGACTGAGCAATGACCATAGTATTTTAAGTTATGGTTACTGGTTTGTAATAGTAACCATACTTTAGACAGGCTCAAATGAGCATTCGGCTATCTTTAAGACAGATCTAAAATATACTTGCTTAAATTCAATACTTGTATAACATGTGCCCAAAAAACCTTTTCATCGCCATTAAACAATTTGAAAAATTTTGCATATATCAAGTTAACAAGGGAAGAAGATTTACCGTAAAAGTACGTTGTTAAAATGTCTCCTGAATTCTGCAGATTGGCTAAGACTGTTACGATATTTGATATTGATGAATATCCATCCCTGCTACTTCATCAAAATATCTCAATTTTGAAATATGAATTTTGAAAAAAAAAAAAAGTTTTTTTTTTCTCATTAGTTTGAAATGTATCAAAGAACTTTATTTCCTATTTAATTTAATTGAAAAACACAAATTTTATGGAATTTTAAGATGATGTTATGTAATAATGTATAATGATCTTTTGTGTTTTGTTACATTGTTATGTTTTCATTTCGCCAATTATCGTCATGTCAGTATATATTGTAACATGCTATCACTTACTGTATGGTTTCTCCGGGAATATTGTCTGTCCCATCTTATTCTTACATTAATTTACACGAATAGACATTTAGTAACTTAGAAGTGATTTTGATAGTGTTTTAGCCGTTGGGAAATTAACGAGTGGGCCCAGCTGAAGGCGGGTGATCAATAAGCCGAAATTGCGAAATTGGCGTATTGTACGGAATGATGAATGCCAGCTATTTATGGGAATATTGATATAAAACGCAGCCAGGATATTTCAAATATTAACTTTCTTATTGATCTGTATTGTTCAAATTGTTCTTAATGGTTAAGATACAATCAGACGCACAGCTCAACCAATTTTAGAAATTAGCGTTTGATCGGGACGTCTTCTGTGACGAACGGCAGTTTATTGAATATAATGTTTTATTTCGATGCAGATCTTGTCTTGAGCTCATACCGAATTTCTTAGGATCTTTTTTTTGAAAGTAATTTATCAGAACAATTTAATGGCTTTTTTATTTGTAGACACATTACGGTTTATTTACTTTTATGGAAAATTTATCGAATTAGGGAAATAAAAAAAGTAATTGAATCTGCACAAATGTCTGTCTGAATGGCAAGAAAGATGAATAGCAAAAGAAATAGTATGATAGAAAATCAAAACACAAATGACAACAACTATTAATGTTAATGCAATTTTATAGAACAGTCATAGCACTTCTATAGGACCTCACTGCACTAAAATAGGACTGTCACTGCGCTATAAAAGGACTGTCACTTCATTATAATAGGACTGTACCTGCACTGTAATAGGACTGTCACTGCACTGTAATAGGACTGTCACTTCATTATAATAAGACTTTAACTGCACTATAATAGGACTGTCACTGTACTATAATAGGACTGTCACTGTACTTTAATAGGACTGTCACTGCACTACAATATGACTGTCACTGCACTGTAATATGACTGTCACTGCAATATCATATGGCTGTCACTGCACTAATAATCGGACTGTCACTACACTGTAATAGGACTGTCATTGCACAATTATAAATCTGTCACTGTACTATAATAGGACTGTCTCTGCAATATAATAGGACTGTCACTATGATATAATTAGAATGTTAGTGCACTATAATAGGACTGTCATGGCAATATTATAGGACTGTCACTACACTATAATAGGACTGTCATTGCACAATTATAAATCTGTCACTTTGTACTATAATAGGACTGCCTCTGCAATATAATAGGACTGTCACTATGATATAATTAGAATGTTAGTGCACTATAAATAGGACTGTCATGGCAATATTATAGGACTGTCACTACACTATAATAGGACTGTCATTGCACAATTATAAATCTGTCACTGCACTATAATAGGACTGTCTCTGCAATATAATTGGACTGTCACTATGATATAATTAGAATGTTAGTGCACTATAATAGGACTGTCATGGCAATATTATAGGACTGTCACTACACTATAATAGGACTGTCACTACACTATAATAGGACTGTCACTGTACTATAATATGACTGTCACTGCACTATAATAGGACTGTCAATATTAAACGAATGTCATGGCAGTATAATATATAGGACTGTCACTGCACTATAATAAAACTGTCAATGACATAATAATAGGACATTCACTGCAATATCATAGGACTGTCACTGCACTATAATAAAACTGTTACTGCCCTTTAATTAGACTGTCATTGCTCTTAAATAAGAGTGTCACTGTACTATAATAAAACTGTCACTGAAATATAAAAGGACATTCACTGCACTAAAATAAGACTCTCACTGCATTATAAAAGGACTGTCACTGCATTATAATAAGACTGTCACTGCCCTTTAATAACTCTGTCATTGCTCTTTTATAAGACTGTCACTGCACTATAATAGGACTGTCACTGAAATATCATAGGGCTGTCACTGCACTATAATAGGAATGTCACTGCAATAAAATTGGACTGTCACTGTGGTATAATAAGAATGTCAGTGCACTGTAATAGGACTGTCACAGCAATATTATAGAACTGTCACTGCACTAAAATAGGACATTCCCTGTGATAAAATAGGACTGTCACTGCTTTATTATAGGACTGTCACTGCAATATTATAGGACTGTCACTGCACTGTAATAGGACCATCACTGCATTCTTATAGGTCTGTCACTGAAATATAATAGGACTGTGATGATAATATTATAGGACTGTCACTGCACAATTATTGGACTGTGGCTGCACTGTAATAGGACTTTGACTGCACTATAATAGGATTGTCACTGCACAGTAAATAGGACTGTCACTGCAATATAATAGAACAGTCATGGCAATATAATATAGGACTGTCACTGCACAATTATAAACTGCAATAAAAAAGGACTTTAGCAGAAATATAATAGGACTGTCACTATACTTTTATTTTTCTGTCAATACTCTATAATAAGACTTGACACTGCATTATTATAGGATTATCACTACACTTTAATAGGACAGTTTGATAAAAATGTCACTGTACTATGGTAGGATTGTCCATTTGTCTCTCACTGTTGATTCAGAAATCATTTGGGATACTTAAGTCTGTCAAATGTGGAGAAATTGGTAATTACTGGTTAG